TCACAAACACAACTGAAGACTGATGTGAATGAGCAGCAGATTCAACGGGATGACGATCTCCTGGTGTGGTTGCCTGCTTTGTTTATTCTTATTTATTATTTTAACTAATTTTCTGTTTTACTTTCTTTGGTAAAGATACGTCTGGATTATGGGATGACCTTGATTATTATTATGAAAAAGAATTGATGACATTTAATTATTTCTTAAAGGATTTCAAGACACTTTTTTAATCTATGCGAATAGTGACCTTTGGCATCGCTCATGACTTGGCCCATGACGTCAGAATGAGTAATGCTTAAGCTCCACCCATTTTGTGTTTCTCGGTAACTCCGCGCATCACGAAAACTGCATGAGACACAGTCCCTGTTCCTTGCCTTATGCCGAGACACGACAAAGCAACGCAACTCAATTATTCACCTTCGCTATGGCTGACTGAAAGAGTGCAAATTCCTCATATCTCGTTTTGGCAAATCCTGGTTGTTCGCCACGTCCGCTATCAAGAAGTCCCTGAGGCGTATCCTTCCGTTATGTGTGGAAATCTCAGCGCCCCAGGAACTCCTTATGACTGTTCTAGGTACATGCAGTGAAGATACCGGCGAAGTGGTAAGCCGTTGGGAGAAAGTTACGGCAAGAATTATGAGAGTCTCGTGACAAGTAAAATGAGAAGTGGCGTTACTAAGAAACGCAAATTTTCCACTTATTGACAGCTGGACGTGCATCTTGATGTGTTCATTGGTGATGCTCTTGCCCTTGCTGTCAACAGGCCAAGCTTGTTGGGATAAAGAGAGAGGGAGAGAGAGAGAAAGAGGGAGAGAGGGAGAGAAAGAGAGAAGATAGACAAACAGAAAGACAATCAGACTGATAGAGACAAAGCAAATGATAATGAAAAACAAAAAGATCACATTAGATAACACTATGCCACTTTCACAAAAATACACTCCACAAAAAATACAAAAAAAGATGCAAAGAGCTGAACCCTAAAATAAATGCCGACTGACCCCCTTAAACATTATGGGAGTGGTTGATCCAACAATTAGTCACAACGAAACACACAAAGCGACTTTCCCAAGGCTCACTTACCACGGCGGTCAAGAGGTTGTTCTCTGAAGCACAGGAAACACTTCGGCTTGGTGTAAAAGTTAATACGTATTCCCAGAGAACTAAACAGTGGAAGGAAACATAGGAATTACCTCAGTGGGTCCTTTTGTGTCATAATTTCGACCACTGGTTATGGTTTCTGCATTAGTGGGGACCAAGATCGTGTTGTTTATTGCAATAGATTTGTTTGATATATTGTTTTTTTTTCACCAGAATTGGTTAATACTTTTTTCCTCTTTTTATTTCATCATAGGCATTTAATATTGAGGGTTATTTCATAAGAGGAGGCAATTTTCACTTTCAAAAGAGGCATTTAACGTTGTGGTTTATGTAATTAGAGGTAGTTATTGTTTTTAATTTCAACACTGACATTTAGTAATAAGGGTTTATGTCATGAGAGAAAACTAATATTAATACTAAAGTTTTATTTCAACGTAGTCATTTTATATGTAATGTATATAATGTATACAATGTATGCATAATGTATTCCCAGAATGTATCACCTGTTATGTCATTTCAACAACCAATTATAAATTCACGTGAGTCACTTTTTAAATCACAGAGGTCTTTCATACAGCTTAGCAGAAAGCAGCTGCAACGCCTGCAATTATGCATTCGGCCTATAATCAAGTCTTTCACCTGTAATTAAGTTTTCCATCTATAATCAATAATTTCACTTGTAATTAAGCCTCCCACCTGTAATTAGGCCTTCCACCTGTAATTAAGCTTTCCACCTGTAATTAAGCATTCTGCCTATAATCAAGTTTTCCATCTATAATTAATCATTTTACCTTTAATTAAGCCTCCGCCTAATTAAGCCTTCTACCTTCCACCTGTAATTAAATCTTTCATTTGTAATTAACACTTCCGCCTGTAATAGAGCCTCCCACCTGTAATTAAGCCTGTAATTGATAATTTCAAGTGTAATTAAGCCTTTCGCCTGTAATTAAGCCTTGTCCTCCAGAATATACAATGTAACGGGTATACTTCTGCAGATATTCATGTATTGTTTTCTCGAGAGAGTTATATATAAATGTAAATGAATAAATGAATTGATAAATAAATAGATGAATATATATATATATATATATATATATATATATATATATATATGTGTGTGTGTGTGTGTGTGTGTGTGTGTGTGTGTGTGTGTGTGTGTGTGTGTTTGTGTGTGTGTGTGTGTGTATACACATATGTATATATATAGATATATATAGATAGATTGATTGATAAATAGATAGATAGATAGTTAGGGAGATAGATACATAGATGTGTTTGTGTGTGTGTGTGTGTGTGTGTGTGTGTACACATATGTATAAATATAGATATATATAGATAGATTGATTGATAAATAGATAGATAGATAGGTAGGGAGATAGATACACAGATGTGTTTGTGTGTG